AGGGAAAGACAAGAGCTGGTATCTTACAGGACAGCTTAATATCAGGATTTCACTGCCTGTTACATAATTTTGTTTTATTCTATAAAAATATGATAATACTTGAAGGAGGCAAGGTTAGTACTTAAAATAGTTTTGGAAAGAACAGACATCTAAAATTGAAAATTAAAATTACTATCTGGGGAGCCAGCAGAAGGTATGGCAGTTAAGGCACTAGACTCCCTAATAGCTGACTGTACAGTTCGAGTCCCAGAGCCAATGGCTTGAAAATCATGCTGGGCAGGTGTGCATGTGTACCCAAAATCCTGAGAGAAGAACAGAGAAGGGATTGTGGTGTGGCCATTCCCCCTGAGTGGTGATTTTTCACTTTCTCTCTCTTTTTCTGTCTCTCTCCCCAGGATCATGTCTCAAAAAAGTAACATTAAACTAAATTTATTAATTAATATTCAGAAAATACTAGAATTCATAAAGATAAATATAAAGCCAAAGAAGTCAAATTTATAATTTCTGTGTTTATTGAACTTAACATGGATGGCCATGATTGAGAACTTATAGAAAGTTGGAGGGAAATTTTAAGGGTTTTTTAAATATAATAGAGTACAGTAGAGAGGCAGAGAGTTAAGTGTGGTTGAGAGGGCCTCTACAGGTGGTGATCCTCCCGTCCCTGCCTCTCCGTTAGCTAGGACAATAGGTATACACCATGCACCTGGCCTGTTTAAATTGATTGAGAACCAAACCTAGCCCCCCCCCTCCCCGCAATGTGGCCTCAGCCATTGTTCAATGATGTCCAAACACCTGTACCATGGGAGCAGGATCAAAGACATACTTTTTAATTACCTATTTCATGTGTTGTTTTTAATCCAAAATCATTTTATTTCCTTACCTATTTTTTAATACTGATACTTAGATTTGAACTAACAATAATAACAAAAATCTCCTAACTAGAAGACTGTTTTCATTTTAAAAAATGAATTTTTGTGGCCAGCAGATGGCATAGTGGTTACATCACTGGACTCCTACATAGTCAACTCTGGTTCGAGTCCCAGACCGAGCGGCCTAAAATTTACACTGGGAATGTATACATGTGTGCCAAAAAGCCTGAGAGGATAATGGAGGACAAGGGATTGTGATGTGGCCATCCCCCCATCTCTCTGTCTCTCTCTGTCTCTCTGGTGAGCACATGCACCCTATAGCAAAAATTATTCTTTAAAAAATATGAATTTTCAATGAGGCTTTTTAATAGAACAATTTTCTGGGGTCCATGATCATTTAAAAAAGATAAATGGGCACACAAGAGGATAATTAACAGTGTCAAGGTCTTGAAATATTAACTGCATGTTGCATGCATTTAATAAAGACAGAGCTTGAGAAGCCTCAGATTTTGTCAGAATTTTACTTGATTGTGACCAATATGGCAGATCTTCATATTTTTCCTTCAAAATATTGGCTATGTACCATAACTTATTTTTCAGAAAAAAAAAAAAAAGGCCCCTCCTCACAGGCTTTCTGATTTTCCCTAGAGTTATTTCCTGAGATGGTTAACCTTGCAATATACTGTGAAAAGGACAGACTTAAAAGGAGTCACAATATGATCCTCCTCCTGTCAAAAACAGGAGTTAGACTAAACACATACAGAGGATAAAAATCATGGTTAGAACACCAAAACAACCCTACAAAGTAGAAGATGTTTAAACTGCATTTTATAGATGAGGAAACCAAGAGTTGTAAATTGACCATTATCATACACTCAATGTTATGCAACTAGTAAGTGGCAAAACTAATATTCGAACTCAGGTCTGGCTAAGTCCAGGAACTGGCCTTTTAACTACTATCTATTATTTTTGCTTTAATTTGCCACATACAAAAAAACCAAGGACATTCATTCACTCATTTGTTGGGTTAATTTCCCCCCTTGCTATCAAGAGAAATCTCATATTTTAAGCATTGTTTTTCAAAATATGATGTAAAATGAGTAACATATTCCAAGACAAAGTTGGGCAGATATGTGGATCAGCATTCAGCTAAACAATTGTCGTGGACCATGACGCCATATGTAATGTGGTCCTTACCCACTACAGCATCATTACACACCACTCTGTACCACTCTTCACCCTCCCCTTGGTCTCCACACTTTTGCGACCATGAACATCTGTCATTTCCTTGAACATGCCCAGCTCTTTTATCAAAGCTCTTGCTCTTGTTCTTTTGACCAAACCTTCTTCCCTGATCTTGGCTTGCCTAGCACTTCTCAGTCTCTGGTCTTACTTCTAATTACCACCTCCTCAGGGAGGCCTTCCGAAATGACCTCTCTATCTGGAGCAGGTTCCCTTCAGTTGCTCTCTATTACACTATCCTGTTATTTCTTGTAGAGCACATCACACATTCTGAAATTACCTCATTAAGAAAGTATGCTCAGAAAGAGCAGGGAATTTATTTTCCTTCTTTCCTTGATTTTTCCCAATGGCCAGAACACTTTCTGATGTATTTTATGCTCAGTAAATATTTGCTGAATATTTATGATAATTTATGAGTACTTGAGCAAAATATTACACAGGTAATTTGTGAACTTCAAGAAGTTTAGATACAAACAACCAACAGTAAACCCCTTTAAACCTCTGAGGAAAGAAACAAGAGAACTAAAATGATTCCTAAGAAAGAGTTTTAAGTAGGGTAGGTGAAAAAGTGAAAGACATTGAGAATATTAATTGGGAAATATAATTAAATTCCAAGATAAGAGATTGATGATTTAAAATTTTCTAGCAACATTTTTCATATTCCCCAATCTCTAAATGTTGTTTCTTAATTGTAATAGTCCAGAAGCTTTTTTTTTTTTTTTTGGTAGAATTACATATTCCTAATAACTAGGATAATAGAAGTCATTTTATTCTGGAAGCCATCTTGTTAAATTGTTTTTCTATCATGTTACAGTCACAGCCCTTGTCTGTGAATTTAGAGAACAGTTGAGTCCTCTTTCACCAGGCACATGTGCTCTTTAGCACGTAGCTGACTTTCCTTCAGCACAGAACATGATCTTCACATTAAGCCTGGCTCTATAATAGGATCATTGCCATAGAAAAACATGTGGGATAGTTTACCTTAATAATACTTGAAATGGGCCATTCATCTTCTATAACATATTCTGAAAATTAATCTTTAATCACATTTAAAGGCTGGTATTTTAAAGGTTAGCTAGCTTTATCATGCTTCTATAATGTTTAGCTGATAACCAGAATACTATTTTGGTTTTGAAACTATTAGCAGAAAGGGTACAAGAGAGCTATAATTAATATACGTCTGCAGGAAAATATAATGCCATGGTCAAAATTCAATAACAGTACCTAATGATTATAGCTATAAAGTAAGCCCTCATATAACTGCCTATATGCCAAATCCTTGAAAATAATTTCAGTTGACAGTCAATCTCAGCACCTTTGCATTTATAAATTGCATGGGTATTGAGCGTGGATATTTTAGGTTGGGTAGAAAAATCAAATTGTTTTTCTGTTTGTCATGGTTATAACGGTGACTGAATATTACTCAGGTATTACTCAGACCTGTGTGTAATAGAAAAAGAAACTTTATTTTCTCATATAAAGGAATGTTCCATTCTTGGGTGAAGATCTCTGGAAATATAAATAAATTCTTAGAAGAAAACTTGAGCCCACTCAGTGTAATTCATCTTCTTGAAAGCCAAGGTTTTTCAAACCACTTAGGTAGAATGAGAGGCCAATCCCATTGAAAGTTATGAAACTGCAAGGGAAAAAAACAATGACAGTAAAACAAATCTGAGCTAATGTTTCTCTATCATGTGTGTTTCTTTTACAATTTGGTAGATATTTTGCTAGATGATGCTGCCGATGCAACTGGACACAAAGATGGCCGCAGCGTGAAAATTATAGTTTCCATAAGCAAGGGCTATGGTCGAGCAAAGGTATTTCTTTAATGTTAAGTTCTTTATTACCAAAAGTTGAGAATTACCATGAGTCAGATGTGTTTTATATTTGAATTTTTGTTCCAGTAAGTGTCTTATCAAACACCAAGGCAAGAAGGTGTTTGTCTTGGCATCAGCTCAGTACATTATATAAGCATGAGAGGAAGAATAAAGAAATATCATCATCATACAGGCAGACATGTGTCTTAAATATATCTCATGTTCTTTCACTGAAAACAGTATTGATTGCTAGCTCCCCCCATTTCTAAAATGTAAAAAAAAGAATGACTTACATTGACATAAACATTTTGTCTAACATATTCTTTTGATATCACTTGGAGGGTATAAGTAACGTTCATGATCTGTATTAACATGTCACTAGAGCTGTCTCTGTGATCTTTGTCCATAGAAAAGACTATAAGCTAAATTAATATTCTATTCACTGCAAAAATGCATATGAGGGGGTCTTCAGAAAAAGTGTATGAAAAGGGGCAAGCAAGTGGCAAAGTGATTAAGGCACTGGATTCCCACATAGTCAACTGCAGTTTGAGTCTCAGGCCCGGCAGCTAGAAAATCCTAAGAGGAGAATGGAGGAGAAGGGCTTACAGCCTGGCCATCCCCCCTGGGGGCTGATTTTTCACTTTCTCTATATTCTCTCTTTCTGTATGTCTCTGGCAAGCTCACATCCCTACAGCAAAAAAACTCTTTAAAAATTATGAAAAATGTACAGTATGAAAAAACTATGCATGGATTTCAAAAAGTTTGGGCACCCAAATAAATTCATACTTCTATTCCATTTTCCATGAACTTTTTGGTGTTCCTTAATATTCTACTGAACTCAGGACACAAATTCCACTAATACTAAGTGTCTATCTCTTTAAGCAAGGCCATAGCAGTTCCAGCAATTATTTGAACATTTTAGAATCCAATATTGCCTTTGTATGGCAGTGCCATTCTGACCCTAGCTTGTTCTTAAAACTAAAAATATTTTTAAAGTTGAATTTTTAGTTGTATGACTAAGAATACAAATTTCTAAGTCTTTAATTTTCTCCCACACACACCAAAAAATTCTTCTGACGTTTGAAATAATTGGAGTAATTAAGTTTGAACAGTGAGCTAGCGCTTGAGAATTTTTACATTGAGCAAATGTTCTAAGAATTCCACTACCATAAACTTTCTGCTTGAGCTGTAGATTGTGCCTACTTTTCCCAAATGTATCTTTATTTCAGAGACTGTAATAGTCTCAGTGAAACCTAACTAGCTCTAATTTAAAGGCAGATGCTTATAAGGCATTGTATATGTTCATTTTTACTGGGTTATAAACACACCAAAAATCAAGTTTTACTTTCCAAAATAATTCAAATATATGTTGATTTAAAAAAAAATGCTTCTAAGACAGTAGTTGTCCTAGAATTTTTGGACTATTGTAACTAAATGTCATGGACTGAGAGCTTTAACAATAAAGGATTTTCTCACAGTTCTGGAGACTGGAAGTCCAAGATCAAAGTGCTGGCCAGTTTGGTTCCTGGTATAGACTCTCTCTTCGAGATGGTCACCTTCTCACTTTGTCCTCACAGGGCCTTACTGCAGTGTTGGTGGATGGAGAGGAAAAGAGAGGCAACTCTAAGGTCACTAATTTCATCTTAAAGGCCCCACCTTTGTGATCTTTTCTAACCCATATCTCCTCCCAAAGGCCCCACCTCAACTATTGTCATAGCAGGGAGTTAGAGCTTTGACAAGGGAAGAAACATTCTGTCCGAGTATTCAAAAAGAAAGAAAAATTTCATAACCATTCAGCTGTGAATTTCTCATTTCTTTCTGAAAAAGATTTTGGCTTCTAACTCAGATTATATAATGCTGTTCATCATTTATCCTTATAGTGCTAAATGTTACAGATAAAGAAATTGAGGCTCTAAGTCAGCTTAGTAATGCTCCTTAATTAGGTAGCACTTGTGTGTAATAGAATTCATGTCTTTTCAACACTTCACTCAACATTAGAAGGGTTGACTACCAACCCTAAAGTATCTCATTCTTGGTGATTTATACCTAGATTGTAATATAAAAACTATCTAATTATATCTACCCGTATAATAACTATTTCATGTAACCATTTCCAGTCACTATAAAAGAGGTTCCAGTTATACTATAAATCATGAATTATTTCCTTTTCTAATATATCCAGAAATCTAATATATGCATAAATTCTTCAATATCCCATCCTACAAAAAGATAGATTTAGGATTATTTGTTGTATTATAAAGTTAAATAAGTACTGCTGATTTCTCTGACAAGTTCTTTTAAATGGTACCTTTTTTTTATAAACTCAGAATGGGCCTGTTTTATAAATATGTAAGTGTCATCCTGCCATTGATATCTTATTTCATAAAGCCAAATTGGATTTTAGATTAAAATTAATAAGTGAAAAAACTGGGGTTTGACCCTATCAAAGATAAGATCACAAAATAGGAAAATGGAGTTCTAGGATTCATATGATACTGCTCTATCATTCTCACCATTTCCCTCCTACCAAGCTATTTCTCTTCAGAAATATACCCACTGCATTATAATGCAATATACTTTTTAAAGTCTCTTTTCTTTTCCTACTACTGAACAGGTCAGGAATTATTTTCTCTGGACATACAATAATCTTTCTTTTTAGTTGTTGCAATTGCTGTTACTGTGTTTATTTGTTTGGGTTGGTTATTCTGCTATGGTATAAGATCCACCATGTATACCATTTACTGTAGAACACTTAGGTTTAATAATTGTTTTATTAATCACCAACTACAGTAAGTTTTAGTATAAAATGTCATAGTAAAATAAAATACACAGTTGAATTTTATCTTACCTTATTTTGTTCTTACTTAGGATCAAAAGACTCAGGCATATTTGATAGGATCCATTGGTGTTAGTGGAAAAACTAAGTGGGATGTCTTAGATGGTGTAATTAGACGTCTCTTTAAGGTAAGTTGTACAAGATATTGTGATATTAATTTCCAAACATATTTCTTTTCAGTTTCTTTTTATAACTGAAATAATGTAAACATATCTTTTCTTCTCTTCCATTTCAAATTAAAAAAAGAAAAACCTTCCTTTCCTTGATTTGTTTGATAATAACACTTCTTGTATTATACATTTCTTAAATTCTTGGCAAGTAACTTTATGTCCCCAGGAGCTTTGTATTTGTTGTAAATCAGCTGAACCTCTGTTTTGACTTGACATTACTTTTTCATGTGTACCAATTTAGGAATATGTGTTCCGTATTGATACAACAACTAGCCTTGGTCTGAGCTCTGACTGCATTGCTAGCTACTGTATAGGAGATTTAATTAGATCCCATAACCTAGAAGTGCCTGAACTGCTGCCTTGTGGATACCTTGTTGGAGATAATAATATCATCACTGTGAATTTGAAAGGTAAAAAGACAAAATGAAAAGCACAGTTGTAATTTTTTATCAATATTTTTTTCCTCTTTTTTTTAATTTCTTTGCATTTTTATATTTAAAAATAGCAATCCACCTGGATAGTTTCAGTGTGAAATAATCCATGTTGATTTATAAAACACGAAAATATTTATAAAAATACTAAAATGAAAGACAATTAAATTCTTTGATTTATGGTACTTGGAATGCAACTTTGAAGATTTCACCAAGATTCACAAAAAGGAATGTGATTTAGGGGATTTAAAATATCTAAATTTTCTCCATTTTCACCTTATCTTACAGGAAATAAAAATATGTTGTCTATTTCAAAGTAATTTGTTCTTTGTTATATCTCTTATATACAACTGCTGGTCCCTGTTTTTTTTTTTTTTTGCTTTGGAGGATGTGATTAATTACAGGCTAATGTAAGGTCTGAAGCATTCTTGTTTCCATTATTCCTTGTCTGTGTATGTTAAAGAATCAGAATCTATCTATATAAACTGTGGGTTAATAGAGGAATTTGTCAATATTTGATTTTATGATTAAGGTAGTAATTGGCTTAGTAAAAGGAGATACTGTTGTTCCCCTTCTTAATTCCTAGCCAAACATTACAGTTTTTATTCTTTGAAAGCTTAAGTCGTTATACAACTGAACGTGCAATGAGAGAAAGAGAAGGTAATCAAGGGAA